TAGAAATTATAGAACAGTATCATTACTATCACATGCAAGTAAGATCTTACTGAAGATAATTCAGAAACGTTTGCACCAGTATATTGACAGAGAACTTCCAGAGGTGCAAGCCAGATTCAGAAGAGGACGTGGAACAAGGGATATCATAGCTGTTGTCAGATGGATCTTGGCTCAAGGCAGGGAATACCAGAAAGATGGATTGACATGGTGGCTACAGTGATGGGCTCGGGTATAGTAGGGATTATGAGGCTGACACAGGACCAGGCAGTGTTTCGTTCTGCTGTACATGGGGTTGCTACAAGTCAGAGATGACTCGACAGCACCTAACAACAACAAGGGAGCATGGGGAAAAGTCACTATTCCTTCTGCAAAGACTGTTCAAGAACAGGCCAAATTCCCCTCTCAGTTAAGGGAAGGAATTGGACATGCGGAATAGTACCTGGCACACAGTAAATGAGCAAAAAATGTTGCTCATTTTTATTGACAATGATGGTAAGCCTCCAGCAGGATAGAAGTTAATGAAATCGTAAGATGATGCTTCAGAACTCGTAAGAGGAATGATTTCCAAATACAAGTATTTTAAAAGTAAAATAAGGGCGTTGACATGATACATAAGAACTTAAAATATATTTTTAAAAACACCTTTAAAGCATAGATAATCAGTGTGGGGAGCACTGAGACAGAATTGATAGGAGTGAAACAAATAGAATGGAAATTATGAGAATGTTGACACAAACCGATGAACATAACTAATTAATGTCAATGAACTTTATGGGCACAAATTGTTGAATGGGAACCTACTATGCTATGTATACTTTTACCAGAAATACAATTTTTAATTTAAAAAATTACTCAGTGGATTTGGTTTTCCATCGATTATTCTAATTCAGCAAACCTGATTTTAAATATACATTACAAAGCTAGTAACAACAGAATGTCAAATTTGCTGAAACAAATATATGGAGAAAAATAGCATCAAATAAAAATCTTATTAGTATAAAATCAAATATATCTGTTATTTATAGACGTTCTAAAATTGTTTTTATTGTTTGTCATTCATGGATTCTCTAAAATAAGGAATGCAGTTTCTTAAATTTTAGTTAGCTCGTAACGCTTACCTTAAAAAATCTAGTGTAAAATAATTATCAATTTAACAACTACTGAAGAATATCAACAATGTACAAGACACTGTTGCCCTCAAGGAGCTTTTCATCTAAAAATATCTGCATGCAATAAACAACAATCTTAATTATTAATTATTTAAAGCTCAGAGTGAATGGCTGTTGCTTACTTTAAGTGATGTAGTGTTCTTCTCCAACTTCTCCTTTACATCTCTGTCATTAGAACTCTTTCTCGTAGAGGTTGAATGTTCTCTCTCTCTTCTTTCACTGACGTGGTCCTTGTCTTTTTCTCTCTTTTTATCTTTCTTATTTCTGCTTTAAGAATATTGATAATGTATGTCAATTAACTTCTAAAATATTAAAAACCTATTTATATTTTTGACAAAATATTCTTAACATGGAATATCTTAAATAAACTGGTTTGAAGGAACTCTGGTGGTACAGTGGTTAAAGCATTCAACTGCTAACGAAAATGCTGGCAGCGTGAACTGCTCCACGGGAGAACAGAGGACCTCTGGTGGCGTAATGCCTAAGGCACATGACTTCTAACCAGCAGGCTGACGGTTCAAACTCACCAGCCACTCCTTGGATGGAAGACTGGGCAATCTACTTCTGTAGTGATACTGCCTCGGAATCCCAAGGAGGGGTGGTTCATGAGTTGGGACCGACCAAGGAGGGGTGGTTATGAGTTGGGACCGACCAAGGAGGTATGAGTTGGGACCGACTTGATGGCAGTGAGTTTCGTTTAGTTTGGTATGGGAGAAAATGAGGAACTCTGCTTCCATAAAAATGTACAGCCTTGGAAACCCTACGAGGCAGTTCTACTCTGTCCTATAGGACTGTATGAATTGGAATCAACTCAATGGCAGTGGGTTTGGTTTAAAAACTGATCCAAGGAGCCCTGGTGGTGCAGTGGTTAAAGTGCTCAACTGAGAACTGAAGTAAATGCCAGTAGTTTGACCCACCAGCTGCTCCAGGAAGAACAATGTGGCAGGCTGCTTCCATAAAGATTATAGCCTCAGAAACCCTGCTGCTGTAGTTGTTGTTGTTACGTGCCATCGAGTCAGACCCGACTCATAGCGATCTCTCCTATGGGTTTCTGAGGCAGTATTACTATGGAAATAGATTGCCCAACCTTCCTTCTGAGGAGTGGAAACCCTACGGGGCAATATTCTACTCTGTCCTATTGGAACACTATGAGTCAGAAATCAACGTATTGGCAATGGGTTTGGTTATAAACCCACCTACTTATTCAATTAATTAACTCTACTTCCAATTAAGTTTTCACAGAGATACAAGTCATTTTGCAGAGGCCATGTACTTACACAAAATATAATTTGGTATTATCACTTTATTAGTTCTAATATATTGAAGGTTTATTTATCTACTGTAATTTAGATAAAACAAAAACAAAGTATTATTTCCTTATAAACCATTCTAAAGCATTAGATGAACAGGCAGAGAGGAATAAAAAGGATAAAGAATCATATGTGACTCTCAAGCTGGGCTGAATGAATAACAGCAAAGCTTGGAACTTTAAATAATCTATTGTACCACCTGCCTATTTCAAAGAAGTTCTACAAACTCAAGAGCAAAGTTTAAGCAGACAACACAAAAAGTAAAAAGCTCCAATAAGAATAAAACAAAACATAAATTTCCTTCTGATTAGAGAGGATAAAACAAACATTTCATGTCAGAAGCACAACAGAATAAACAGCCATAAGATGGGATTCTAAACTTTTTTTTCTTAATTATTAATAGTTTAAAAATAGACACAAAGACCACTGGAACAAATAAAGCTCCAGGCATTTAAGGAACTCTATCCAATCATTTACTGATGCCTCAGCCAACTAGGCAGACTTCAGTGGCCTCATGTAATGCTGGTGGGCTGCTAACCAAAAGGCTGGCAGTTTGAACCCACTAGTGGGAGAAGGATGAGGCAGTCTGCTTCTGTAAAGATTTACAGCCTTGGGAATCCTATCAAACAGTTCTATTCTGTCCTATAGGGTCGCTATGAGTTGGAATCAACTCTTTGCTGGGTTCAGTAATTTGCTGAAATGGCCACAAATGACTCACAGATTATGAGGTTTATTAGGGAAGCAACAGGCTACAATTCAGGAACGTGCTCAGGATACAATTCTTAAATTGTATCCCCTCTGCCGTGTCCTTAGACATGTCTCTCTGGCCCTTGGCCTCTCGGCCTGGCCCCTACCTCTGTGAGCCAGGTAAGCCTGCCACTCTGTCTCATGCCTCAGCCGGGCATCTCTCTCAGCTAGCAGTGAGATTCCCTCTCTGCCTCTAAGAGGGCTCATTTTAAGACTGGCTGAGTGGCAAAACTAACCAATCCCAACATTAGAGTTCTACACACCTGAGAGAGAGCAAACTTTCCCAGAAGATTACTTCATGCTGCTCCAACAGAAATATCCCAGGTGGATGACTTTAACAATCAAGAGTTTAAACGCAGCTATTCAGTTTTTCAAGGCAAATTCCACCAAGGAGTTAACTGCCAGTGTCATTATAGGGAATAAATACTACCAGCTACCCAGCAAAGTTGACACATTATTTGCATGGTCCCATCCAGTAATTCAGTGGGAGTTACAAAGATTATGGCTAGAAAAACCATATCATGTAATTCACTACACCGCAGAATCAAAACAGCTTGTATCCTGATCTTGGACTCAGCCTCCAGAACTGAGAGACAATAAATTTCGATGGTTTAAAGCAGCCCACTTTGTGGGATTGTGTTATGGCAACCCTAGGAAATTAATACAAAGTGCATGTATAATATATACTTTAAATATGTGCAAGTGGCTTTAGAACTGGGTAACAGGTAGAGGCTGAGTGAGTTTTGAGGTGCTTGATAGTAAAAGCTTACATTGCCTTGAAGAAATTATGGTGAGATGCCCTAGTGTAGTCAAGTAAAAAAATCAAATACAGAACAGTGTATTATTTCATGCTACCTATTGTATAAGAAATATGAAAATAAAAATTTAAATTCTCATTTGTGTCTGCATACAAAAAAGGAGACAGAAAACAACTATTTAGAATTCTAATTTATAGAGACAGAGTACATGGCACATGGACGGAAATAAGACATCTCAATGTATAACTTTTTATATTGTTTTGATTTCCAAACCAAGCATATGTATCACTAATTCAAAATATAAAGTTTGAAAAATAAGATGAACAAATTTTTACAATCCCTACCCTTTAGTTATAGCACGTTTGCAACCTACCTCCTAGGGGATGGAGACCTAGATGATTTCCTTTTTATGGTTTTTGATGTTCTTGGCGATCTGGAAGAACTCCTGCTTCTCCTCCTCCGCCTTTCCCTGAAAGCCAAAGATATTACCATTCAAAACAAAAAAAAACAGCAATTGAAATAAAGGAAAATTTAAATACACAAAAGCAAAAGGTCCTTGATACTCTCAAGAATGATTTTCTTTAGAGACCGGTTGGAACTCACATCCTTTATGAGCACATTTTATTATCTAATTTTAGTGCCGAACTGTGAAACATAAATTTTACAAACTTACAAAAGAAATCTTCTAAAACTTCATATTAGTAAAGTCAGTGGGCTTCCTTTACATCCAGTTTATATCAACAAGAATTTCTTGAACAGTGAAAACAATAATGGGTATTTCATATTCTCTTAAATCTAAAACATGTTTTGCTTATCATCCTTTGTCAAGCATTTAGCTACTTGCTGCCCCACTGTGGGTTATTTTATAACAAGGTATGAACTGAAAGATAAATTAGCTTGTATAATATGAACCTTCTAGACCCAGGTACTTCCATCCAGTCTCCTATTATTTTATAATTATTGTTCTATTAATTTAAAACTAAATACACACAAGTTCCTTAAGTTTATTTAAAATAGCTAAAATATGGGATTAAAACATGACAAAGTTAAAATTAAACATGTTTATTTTATTATGAAATTGCTTTGCTTCACATATTAGAAAATGATGCAAACTCTAAATTACTTCATTTGTAAGAGTGGTCAACTTACAAACAATGAACTTCACGCCATATCCCCTAATTCAAAGGATGAGGTGTGAGGATATATTTATCAAATGATGTATCCAATAATCTATCTGACAAGGAGTTCTGATAATCAGTAGTCAGATGTGTGAAAGAACGAAAGTTCTCCTTTCCACCTCAGTAAACTGATTCTAGGCTAATAAAACACTGTGGGTTAAGATTTTCACCTGTGATTCACCAGCAAGATGGCAGACTACACAGAAGACTGCACAGACCCTCTTCAACAAAGAAAAGGGAAACCAATTAACACAGATACAGAAGATAATCCTGGACCCCTGGGCCTTGAAGGGAAGGATATAGAAGTGGACTAAACCCCAACTAGCAGAAGAATTTGCGTGAAAATACCAAAAAAGGAGACATACGGAGCTGCAGTCTGGCAGCAAACCTGAGCAATCCTGACGGCACAGACTGCTTTGAGATTCCCGAGTGCTGGTAGGACCTAAGAATTAACCAAAAAGTCAGCCCTGCTAGCCAGGGACTGCACGGAGGACTGTGCACGGTAGCTGGGGAATAAACGGAGAAGGTGAAGAGAAAGGTGGGCTGAGCTGTGGACTTTTGCCAGTATGGAGGGCACCGCCATTTTGAGGGATTAAAAGCTACATGACTATTTTGGATATTTAAAGAGACAGCACTCTGGCAGATTCCTGGGACTTGAGAACACGTTCTGCTTTCCAGCAACCCCAAGGACACTCCGGACCTGCAAGACTGAAAAGGTACGACATTCCTCTTGTTACTCTTATAACCCACACCCGCTTGGTGAACGGAGGTGTGGTCAACCCCCACTCCCACCTAACTTCTGGGCCACAAGAACTCCATCACAGTCTGTGTGCTCAGACGGAGCCTGGGTGCCCTGCTCTGTCCCTCCACCAATTCTTCTTTTTTTTTTTTTCTTTTTCGCTTTTTTCTGGTGATTAGTCTGCTTGTATTTGTCTGTTTTAAAACAACTATTATTATTAATACTTTTGTCCTCTTTATTATTACTATTAACCTCCCCCTCCCAGGTCCTAGTTTTCAGCATTTTTTCTTTTCCTGTTCCTGGATGAATTTTTTTTTTTTTAATTTAAGGTTGTTTTTTTTCTTTTAATTTTTCTCCCCCTTTTTTCTCGTGGTTAACCTCCTTCCTTGTTTTTCTTTTTGCATTTTTCCCATTTTTTTTTCTTCATTATTATTCTTCTCTACTTTTTTTCTCTTAGTGCTCTATCCCTAGATATTACAGGTTTTCTTCTTCTTCTTTTTCCTTTTTTTAGCTACTGTTCCTGTGTGATTACACAGTATGTTTTCTGTCCATGTGCTTTTAGATTTTTCATGGTTATTCAATTGTATCTGTGTCTAACTGAGTGGGAGACAACATCAGACCCCGTAAGACACAACTACACCCACACCTCCTGCAACTTCACTTACTGAGCAACAGCTACTACCTCCTTCTCCACCAACGGGCCAATGATAAAAAAACCACCAAGAAGAGTCTGAATCACCCTTGGCTGCTCTTCACAAAGTTAACAGAGATCTAAATACAACACCACCACAATGCCTCGGAGACAACAGACCATGAGGGTCCACACAAAGAAGCAGGATAAAGTGGTAGAAACAAGGGAGCAGGATACAGACCCAGAACAAATCCCTGAGGAAGAAGCAGCATTGGAACTCTC